GACAAAGCCTTAGTTTTTTTTAAGCTCTTAAAGAACCTTATTTACTAAGGAAGAGGTATATTAATAAGCCTATATAAGGCTTATATAATCAATACGTATTTACTATTAATATAATATTCTTTTAGTAGTTTATAATATATTACGTTTCTAAATAGATTTCTTTTAGTATTAAGAAATATATTTATTATATTAAGCTACTTTATATTAAAGTTAAGTTAAGTAGTAATTACTATTACTTTATAAAAAATTTATATAGTAAAGGTTACTATATAAGTCTTTAAAAGAGGCTTATCTTCTTTTATATTCTCTTTTATAATAATATATACCTTAGTATAGTTAAGAAATACTACTTTGTTTATAGATTATAAAGTAATGTTATACTAAAAGTAGTATTATATAGTAATATCTTATATAAAGCTACTTTATTCTGTATAATACTCCTAATATTAGTATATATATAAAGTGCCTTAGTACTTATAATACTAACTAAAGATAAGGCATTTAGAATAGCCTTATATCTTACCTTATTAAGCTTATTTCTTATAGCCTTCTCTTCTTTTTCCTTTATCTTTTCTTTTTTCTTTTTATTAGAAGATAAAAGAGGTATAGTAGCCCTCTTGCTTAAAGGGCTAGTAGGTAACACTACTTATACTATATAGTAAAGAGCTATAACCTACTATACTAAAGTTAGAAAAGAATATGTTAAAGTAATAATAATATATATACTAACTATAAGGTTTTATTAGCTAATAAAGCCTTTAAAAAGATATAACCTAGGCTAATTAGTATTATAAAAATTACTTTATAAATATAGTAATTTATTATATAGTAATAATACTTACTATTAGTAGTTAAAGTATATACTTTATTAAGCTAACTTATAAGTATATTATAAAAGTAATAAATATAAAAACTAATTATAGTAATAGTAGCTATTAGCTTTATACTAAAGAACTTTATAGTATTAATAAAGATATTATTATTATTACTACTCTTCTTATTACTACCTTTACTTAGATATAAAAGCTTATATAATTATAACCTTAAATTTAACCTTATTTATAACTTTAAAGTATTACTACTATATATTAAAAGCGTATAGGGTATAAGGGACTCTTACGGTGCAGTGACTATATAGAACACTATAACCACTAAAAGCAACACAAGATTCCTTACTAATTAGTACATAAATTGTCTTAATCTGTCTAGAATTAACGTTAATCGTAAGTGTTAAACTATAGGATTAAGCATGATTGTGCCCTGATTAGGTAGGTAATTGCTCCCAATCGTCTTGTGTTATCACAATTAAAAGTAAATCATAGAGAGGCTCTAGTTCGATCAGAAGGTAGGTATAAGTATGAAGGATGAATTCTGCGTGTCTATCTCTGAACCTATTGACGCTGGCTTATATCCCCGGACTTAATTAGGGTTAGGATCTTCTAATCGGCCTGCACACTACCTCGCTCTAGGCTAATTGCCCTACCCTGCTCTAATATATATAAGATATCTAATATAACCTTTACTTCTAGATATAGACCTATAGAGATTTACTCTCTAGTACTCTATCTCTAAGAAGTATAAAAAGTAGATATATATAAATAGTAACTAGATTTACTCTAGGGTAATAAAAATAGAAATATCTACTTAAATAAAACTAGATATTAAACAGACCGTATTATACTGTAACAAGCTGTAATAAGTAGTGTAACAGGCTGTAACTAGCTCTAAACAAGCTGTAATAATATAAGGTTTTAAGTCTATATAATAGTATAATAGTATAATATAATATAAAGGTTAATATATATATTACTAGAAATATAGAAGTTAGTTAATTATATATAGAGATAGATCCCCTTAAGGGATTCTAGCTCTCTATGCCTTCTATATATAATAAAACTACACCTATCTTTCTACCTATCTATTTACCTATCTATTTAGTTAACCTACTAATCTACTTATTATTTCTTATTCTAAAGTATACTATTTCCTTAAGTATTATAGTTATTTATACTTATAGTAGTTCTTTTTAGTATATCTAGCTAATTAGTATCTAGGCTTTTTATAATTATAATAAGTAAGTAGTCTTTAGGTCCCCTCTAGCTAAAGTGTTATACCTTTTTCTTTTTTCTTAACTTTTAGTTTTAATATAAGTATACTTACTAGTATTATAGCTATTAGTATTAAGTATATACTAATAGCTTTAGTTAAGAAGGTATTTATAATTATTAGTTATACTACTACCCCTTAATAGCCTTTTTTCTCTTAACTTTACCTTAGCTATCTTTTTAATACCTTTTTTATATAAGTCTTAGTAAGTGCTTTTACTTTTTTTACTATATTATCTAACTCTTAGTAAGTAGCTAGTAGCCCCTTAGTAAGTATATAAGTCCTTAGGTCTAGAAGTACTTAGTTTAGAATATAAACTACTTACTACTTTTTTATTTAAAGGTTAAAGTACTTCTCTTTAACTATCTTATATATATTAATAAATTATTAGTATAATTAGCTTAAGACTTATTATATAGTACTTAGTTTTATAGTAATACTAAAAGCTTATATATTATTATTAGTAATACTTACTTTTAGTTAGTTTTTTATAACTTCTTAAAGTACTTTACTAATCTTACTTTTATAATAAAAACCTATATACTTTTTTTATTTATATATTAAGTTACCTTTTAGTATAGTACTAATATATTTTACCTTATTATTATAAGTTATAAATTTCTTTTTACTATATTTAAATAAATCTCTAACTAAAATAAGAATTTATATAGTTTATTTTAGCTTTCTTTTTTATACCTTAAGGTAAGTAACTTTTATAAAAGTATATTAGTATAAAGTTATTTAGCCTTTAGTTAGAGATTAGTAGTTATCTTTATCTCCTCTTATATATTTTTTATAAATATACTACTTTAAAAGGCCTTAATTTAATTAAAAAAAATTAAATCTTTTTACTTTTTTTACTTTTTTCTTTAGAAAAGCTTTTAACCTTTTTTTTAATAGCTTACTTAAGTTAATAGCATACTACTTATTTACTAGTATAGACTTAGTTATATTAGGTATTAGTTATTTTATTATAGTACTCCCTTATTACTAGGCTATAGTTTAGAATCTAGTAGGCGCTATTACTACTTTAGTAGTTAATATACCTAAGAATAAAGAGATATTAGAATATATTAGGTATAAGGATAGTATTAAGTAAAAGAGTTAGTGATAAGTCTAGTTAGGGTTTAATTATAATAATTATTTTAATATACCTCCTCTAACCTCTAAGTTCTATAGAGTTTTCTCTTTTTGTTATTCCTTTAGTAACTAGTTTATCTAGTCCTGGCCCTACTCTGGTGCCCCCCTGGGGCCCTGCTCTAGGCACCTAACATCCCCCCCTACCTGTTCCTATATTATAACGCCACTTATGTACAGTGGGGTACTATAAGTCTCCTAATATATATATAGTATATACCTAAAGCACTACTTTATAATAAGTAATATTAAGCTAACTAGATATCTTAAAATTAAAAGAAAATACTTACTAAATAGTCTTACTAAATCTTTATATATTTTATATCTATATACCTATTTTACTTACTTATAAGGCTAAAAGAAAAAGAAAAGAAAGTATAATGTTTTTTAGTTTCTAGAGATAGTAAGCTTATAGGGCATAAATACAGTATAAACACTATATTCTCTTAAGAAAAAAGTAAAAAACCTAAACCTATTTATTTCTAGATTTAATATATCTACTATAATATTAGTAAAATACTTTATAAAACTAGTATAGTATAGTTAATATACCTAAGTAACTATATATAATTTTTATACTCTACTTTTATACCTAATATACTAAGATATAGTGTATTCTCTATAGCGTAGTTAAGGTGGCGCACTATGAGGTGTCAGGAGACTTGTGGCACCCCACTGTACCTAGGTAACACTTGTCCGTCCTGCCGCCCCCCCCCCCGCGAACTCAGCTCCAGGTTTTTTTTTTCAGGAACGTCAGTTCAAACAGCAATCGATTCTCTGCCTTGCATGAAGCCCACCATTACTGATCCTGCACCAACCTCCACAAGACCGACATCTGTCTACCCCGAACTGACGATATCCTCTATCACCATGAGTCTTTTTGCCCCCAGCGCCATCGACTGTCCACGGATACCTTTTTTAGCCGCAGCGTGCAAGGGTGTCTGCAGCCGGGCCGGGAAAACTCACACACAAATTGACAAGGAGGACACACGTGGAGATGGAGACTACCCGCATATGCTTCCGCGAGAAGACAATATAGACAATCACGTGAGCCCTAAATAGCTTCGTCGGGGCGGAATGAACTATCCACATATCTACGTACACAAGGGTGACACTGACGAGCCGTCAGTGACGGCCAAGGATTCGCCAGTCGCAAGATGATAGCCCTTCTAGAGTGGCAACCAATTAAAAGTTGTCGTATGTCCGTTTGTCGCAAGGAACTTAGCCTTAATCAGTCGTACGAATGACTACAAAGTTAACCGACTGTTTGCTTCCTGGATTAATTAGAAGGTGAGGGGACTAATATCCCGCGTAGAGAACCCAGCGTGCTTAGAAAGGAAGGTCAGCTATACATACCCCTCAATTGTTATGCGGAACTCTCCTTCGTTGTATCCATACTAATGCAACGTTAGCTGACAGACTCCACCCAATGCCAAAAACTCCACTGAAATATTACCAACGTAGGCAACGATGGATGCAGGAAAAGGAACTTTGGTTTTCGTCGTCGTTGCCTGCATTAACGACAATGTGAGCAAATAGAGGCGTTCGAAGTTCTGATGATTTGGATTTGGCTCTTCATCCACGCGTCATAACTCGATACGAGATCGGCTTCTGAATAGCCACTCCTTTCTCCTATAAAAGTCAGCTCATCCGACTCCTATAGATTTGGAGATGAGACCACCCTCATCCTTCCATCTCTTTCCTATTCTTCACGTCTTCAGATCGATACCCAGCTATTTCGATATCTACTCATTACCATGAAGAATTCCACTATTGCTCAGGTCATTGCTGCTACAACTGCCATGGCTAGTCTTGCAGCCGCCGCCCCCATGCCTAGCAGTTCCAACGACTCTCATCCCTCTACTTTTTTCCGTCGAGCACCTCCTGGGCTCTGTGGCGATTCCAGCTTTGAGAACACTACCAACGGCAACTCAGCCTACGTCAGCGACTGTCAGACGATGCGCGACCTCCTGCTCTCACGCAACGAGCAATGGACCGTTTACATACCCCAGCGCACCCTGGCTTGGGCCGCTTCTTGCGCTTTCGGTGCACAGCATTACACCGTCGACCCGCCCGTGACATTCGTCGGTGGCCTAGATATTGCCGACATCATCGCCAGTTCCATTAGACTTTTTGGAGGAAACGGTCGCTTAGGCGCCAAGGGTGAAATGCTGTGCAAGGATCGTGTTAACACAGGCGGCGGTGAAGTCAACACTCACTGGGGCCTTTATGTTCCCCCATGGTATAGATCTGCCCTGAGACTGGCTGATGGCGAAGAGCCGCCGACTCCAGAGGGTGAAGTGATGGAAGAGCCTCCTGCTGGGTTTGTCTTGCATGTCGCAAGTGGTGTTTGGCTGGCGCCTGAAATCGCGCCTTTCTATATTGATGAGGCATAAGGGGGGTTCAGTCTGTTTCTATAAGACTTTGGTACGGGACGATAGAAATCTTATTCTTATGGGAATATATGAGTTTGTTTTTCCCCATTATCATATTTAGTTTAAATAGTAAGTAAAGCTAAAAAGTCAAATGTGAATATGAGGCATTGGCTGGTATAATCAAATACGCTACCTTTGAGGATAAAATACTCAATCTCCCGAGGCGAGCCCACTCCGCAACAAACTTCACGCAAACAATTCTGCTGTCAAATTTCTGGGATGTGACGGCTGTCATTTTTAAACCGTTCAACAAGACGACTCTCGGTAACTCATTGCAAAAAGTATAGACAGGTTTTTGCCCCATCCTCACATCAGATCAGGCCAGCAAGAAAAGGGCTTTTAAAAGCATGATTGGGGATGAAACCATGTAAATGACAAAGAGAGGCATTATGTGTGTCGTGAAAAGTATTGCGGCTTTCCGTTGTGTAGATGGCAATTGCATTCTAGATAACATTAATGCCATAGCCTATATGTGCGTCGCAATCTCTTAGATAAACCGCAGTTGACACTGACCATGCAGACCGTTAGTCTATTGATTGTAGCTGCCATGTACTCGAACCCTTTGCTGGAAGTTCTTGCTGAGGTAGTCAAGGTGCACTATCAGTTCCGACGAACAATAGAATTGCTTGACTTACATGTGCAAACGGGCAACTCATCGATGGCAGAGAAAAAGATTACAAACTGTTGCTGGCTAACTATTCACAACTAACTTCAACTTAGAGTGAACTCATAGTATTACAGTGAATTTTCAATAAGGTAAAGTCCATGACCTGCTTGATTCAAATCTTGTTAAAGTTCAAAATGTCCCCGCCCATTGTTGTTCCCAAGTGATGCGTGGTGTTTATGGCGCATCGGGACCTGGAATCTCTTGAGAGCGTGGGAGTTAAGAATAGCAAAGTGTTGAACTGTGATCATTGATTTAAATCAAATCAGCCCCGACCTGGGACAGTGTGGTGTTCCAGCATGTGAAGTGAACTGCTAGCGCGTGATGATCTCTTTTGGCATATCGCCGTCATTGACGCCATGGTTTCCTAGCCAGCTGTTACGAGATGGAGGACGGGAACATAAGGATATTACTAGCAAAGGCTTATTGCCCTACAACTTTTAATGTGGAGGAAGAGTCCTATATATATACACACGAGTAATGCGAGTAATTAGTGAAATACTATGTCATATAGCACCTAATAAACCACCTGACAGGTGCTTTATAAAGCTATTGTGACATCAGCTGACGTGAATTAAACGAATGGTTCATAACTGTGGAGAAGTTAATCGCTAAAGGTTGAGGATAGCAGCTGTTACACTTTTACAGGCGCTATGTTTGAGCTACTAATGAAGAGATTCGGCTTGGATTCCTTAAACGGGCAGTATTATATGGCGACTTGTAAGTGCGCTGATACCTTTCGACCCGTTAGAGCCAGCTAACACACTAAAGAAATCTACCTTCGTTGTATTAACCTACGCTATTAAGAGCTTGGTTCTCTATATGTTACGGCCAGTTTCTAGATAGTAGGGTTTCTACTGATAGTAAGCAGAGGTCAGTACTTATTTAATAGTATTTATTATTCTTACTAGTCTTAGTAATTACCTAGAAATTAGTTATAAGGTTAAGGTTATAAAGTAGCTTATATAGCTTTTTATTAATTAAATTACTAAGGTTAAATACTAAAAAGTATTTAAAGAATATATTATAAGGTAATTACTAAAGAGCTATAGAAGTCTATTCTTAAGTATATCTAAGTCTATCCTATATATAAGTCCTAGCTGTTTTTTAAACTACTTCTTTAACTAATAATTAGAAGTAACTACTATCTTTATATAAGGTAAGCGTATAGTAAATACTAGTAAGTGCTTACTTTTATAATTACTAGTAATTACCTTATTTTATAATTACTTTTTTATTTTTATATAACTTATACTATAGTTCTTTTATTCTAAGGAGTTATTTATTTATTTTTTATTTTTTATTTATATAAATACTACTACTACTTACTTTTTACTTATTAGGTAAGGTAATATAGCTTATAACTTATTAGGTTATAACACTATAATATCTTAATCTATAAAGAAGAATACTTAGATAGCTTTAAGAGTAAGGGCCTAATTAGCACTACTAATATTATTTAACACTTTAGATTAGGACTAATATTACAGACTAAGCACTAGCTATAAGTACTAAACTAGGCTAAAAACAAGAGGGTATATTATAATTTTAGTTCTATTATACTACATAAGGCGTTAATTCCTACTTATAATTAACAGCGTCGTTTTTATAATAGTAGAGCAGGGTAGGGCGATTAGCCTAGAGTAAGGTAGTATATAGGCTAATTAGAAGATCCTAATCCTAATTAAATACAGAGATATAAGCTACTATTAATAGATTTAGAGATAGACACGTAGAATTTATCCCTTATACTTATACCTACCTTCTAATTAAACTAGAGCCTCTCTATAATTTACCTTTAATTATAATAACATAAGATAATTAGGAGTAATTACCTACCTAATTAGGGTATAATTATACTTAATCTTATAGTTTAACACTTATAATTAACGTTAATTCTAGATAGATTAAGATAATTTATATACTAATTAGTAAGGAATCTTATATTACTTTTATTAGTTATAGTATTCTATATAGTTACTACACTATAAAAGTCTTTTATACCCTACGCGCTTCTAATAGTCTCCCCTTTTAGAATAGTAACTATAGGTTTAAACTAATTAGAGAGATATCTAGTTAAGCACACTAAGTAAGTTATTATAAAAAAAGTAATAATAATAAGATAATAGGATTATAAGAAGTAACTAATTAAGAGAATAAGGAAAACCTTAAAAAGATAATAAGATAATAAAGTAATAGATTAGTAACTTAAATAATAAAAATTACCTAATTATAAGACTAAGATAATAAGTTAGAACCTTAAAAGTTACTAATTTATAATAATAACTAAGATAGACTATAGAAATACTAAAGGGGCTAGATAAAGCTCTTAAAGGTCCCTATAAGTAAGGTAGTCTGTTATAATTAGTTACTTATAGTTAATTAATATAAGATAGCGCCTTAAGAATTACTTAATCTAGAGATATAAAGCTATTAGCCTTAAGACTCCTTATAAGTATACTAATTTAAATAACTATTATAACTTTATAAAGAAATTATAATAAATTAAAAGACCCTTTTTCTTAAAAGTTAGTTAATAAGTTTAGCTAGGGCTAAAAATAATTATATAAATTCTACTAATTCCGAGGTTAGCCTTAGTTTAGATAATAAGATAAGTAC